TATATATATACACACACACACACACACACACACACACACACACACACACACACACACACACACACACACACACACACACACACACACATGTTCTACAATCAACCTAGCACTCTGCAGTTCATTTAGATGTGCTACAATTAGCTATAATCGATTCAGCTAACTTTTATTTAATTCAACAAGTCGATCACATTTCCATATTTGTTCAGGTCTCAGTATCCGTGTCGATCATCAGGGAGAGTGTCAGAACACAACTACTCCAGAACCCTGTAATTGTCCTCATCACATCAACACCGTGTGTGGTACTGATGGAAACACATACCCGAATGAATGTCTGCTAGACTGTACTGCTAGGGAACAAGGCGAGTAAACCTACAACTGCACCATAGACATGGTGGGCTATCACTCTCAATTGCATATTTAACAGTCCTCGCCATTCACCTCAACTAGGCCTACAGCTGTTCTGCTAGCATTTACATGTACCTAAGTTACAACTTTTTCGAAATTACAACCTAAAGTACTGCTATCGCACGCAAATGTTGGAGCTGGGCCCAAACAGTATCCGGTACGAAGTCAATGCTAGTGAAAATTTGTTCTAAGTAGCGCACGTTTTGCGCAATTTGTTCTAGTACGCGAGTTTTGTAAACGAATTTGAAGACGCAACTCATCGAATGTCACCGAAAGCCTAAACATGAGATATTTCACCACGTAGCTAAAGTAGCAACTGTCGTGCGGTGGGATCTGCACACCGGCACTACAGGCATCAACCCCACTCCCCCACCCCTATTCACACAGCTATCTCACTGCCATCCACATTGTACTTTCTTCCGCGATACAGGGCCTTTGTACCGGGAGGACACCGATCCTTCTCCTTACCCGGTATCCCAACGCCACGCATATATACGGGGTTTCCAGCGTCCTCTCTGTGTACATATCTGCAACTATACACCGGCGCATTCTCGCGTAACTGGGCGAATAACAATGGACCGAACAAACAATTAATAAACATAAAAACAATAAACAATAAACACGAGTCGAATGATAAACAAACAAGATGGCCATCTTTCGCAAGTTCACGAATAACGTAGCGATTTCATATTTGTTCAGGTACCAGTATTCGCGTGGACCATGACGGAGAATGCCAGGACACATCTACGCCTGAACCCTGCAACTGTCCACGTCATATCAGCAAGGTGTGTGGTACCGATGGAAACACGTACCAGAATCCGTGCCTACTGGAGTGTGCTGCTCGAGAACAGGGTGAGTAAAACCACAAGAGCATTGACATATTACATGTCGTATACTATGGCATGATGTAGCCATAATTAGTCACTGTTTCCCGAGGCTATAGTGAGGGTTCGACACCGACTGACAGTGCAGACGTCAGTGTTAATAACTTCGCAGCAGACGATAATCGCCATCATTAGTATAATACGATAAAAACCAAGCGCCAGAATACGCACTGCTGTCCTCAATAGCATTCACTCGAAAATCAGCCAGTCCGAGGTTGTAAGTGCAAAGGAGAATTAGTCAAATCAGGCTGAAAATAGAAGACTACGCAACAAACGAATTCTCGCCGTTGACAAATTTCTCGGCTGGCTCTCCGCCTGTTAAGCGTGCTGCGTCTATTCCCGCACTCTTACGAAAATACTCAATAGCTAATCAGACAATAGGATTAAACACTAAGCTCTTTAAAAAATCGGTTGTAAGAGTGTTCATATCATATTTCTGGTTGAGGAATTTAAAACGCTGGCCGTTCTGTCTACATAAAAATGACGATTGCAGATGTCGTGTATGTCGTGGGTTCTCGCAAGAAACGGCAACAGATATAATGCGCCAATTTGCAAGTGTGTCTATCATGCCCCCCCCCACCCCACCCCACCACATACACACCGCGCGAGTTTCCACCCGGATATGTGCGCAACGTAGAGTACTACTTCCCGTTAGAGACACTCGTCCAGCATAAGATGTAGGTACGAGCAAGGCGTTGCCTACAGCCATGTCGTAGAAGTGTTCAACGTAGAAATGTTCTATGTAGTTAGAAATCATAATTAGTAATTCGCGGTGTCGACACGGGGTAACCTGTGAACGAGGGGCGAAGGAGCGGTATGGTGCCAGGCGTCGTTCAGTGCGCCGGCGCTCAAATACCCTGTTTGAATCATGAATTCAATTGAGAATTCTTTCTCTGTGCATTCCACTCTCAAAGAATTATATCACTTCATTATAATATATATATATATACACTTGTCTTGCTTATTCTGACGTCTCTAACATGACTAATATACACCCGGAACCAACGGCCTCTGACTCGTAGTTAATAACTACTGGCGTGCGTCGTTCATGGACAAACGATCAATCAGTTAGCCCGCAGTGAACTCGACCTGTACCCTCACACACACACGCACGAACGCACACCGCACGCACGCCCGCCCGCACGCACGCCCGCCCGCACGCACGCACGCCCGCACGCACGCACGCACGCACACACACACATACACACACACACACACACACACACACACACACACACACACCACCGCATCCACCACCACCACGCATCACAGCAGGCAGCAGCAGTAAGTCAGCACGCACGCGGAAGGATGCGAGCGCTGATGAGCGATACGCTTCCGCTGGCTGCTACATTACGCCACGTCTTCCTCTCCGTGCGTAGCTAGCTAGCTCGTCCTCGCCCCACCTTCCTGCCTCCGCGTGTGCTTATTGCCCCGGTGCTGAACTGACTGACTGATCACTGACCGCATGCCTCGCTTCCTACACGTAGGCACACACGAACGCGCAGAGAGAGAGAAAAAGAAAGAGAGAGAGAGAGAGAGAGAGAGAGAGAGAGAGAGAGAGCGAAAGAGAGAGAGAGAGAGGAGAGAGAGAGGAGAGAGAGAGAGAGAAAAGAGAGAGAGAGAGAGAGAGAGAGAGAGAGAGAGAAGAGAGAGAGAGAGAGAGAGAGAGAAGAAGAGAGAGGAGATTAGAGACAGGTAGAGAGAGAGAGTGCGAGAGGGAATAGAGAGAGAGAGAGAAAAAGAGAGAGAGAGAGAGAGAAAGAGAGAGAGAGAGAAGAGAGAGAGAGAGAGAGAGGAGAGAAAGAGAGAGAGAGAGAGAGAGAGAAAGAGAGAGAGAGGGAGAGAGAGAGAGAGCAACACATAGAGAATGCCGGCGCGTGTGTACTTGTACAGGACACATAATAGGGAATAAGTCGATTACGGGACAGAATACATTGCACTAATGTTAAAACAGGGGAACAATATGCTCGCGCAGAACACCGCGTGAAATTAAGGTTCCGTTGGTCAATTACCTGACTTTCAGCAAACTGTGAATGCAGCGTCAATCTGTTGACGACGAATGCGACGTTGTTACTATCACCAGGAGTAAATAATAAACAAATGTGTTATTATTTACTCCTGCTATTACGAATGTTTCGACCGAACACTCGCCAGAATCAACAGCACTTTGTTACAGATCAACGAAAACAGTAGAGAAAAAGAAGAGAAAGAGTTGTTGTAATGATTTACACAAAGGCCTCGTATAATTCAATTAATCACAACATGGTCAACGCGCGGACACGTAGTTGACCGCGCAGCGCAGACGTTAATACTTAATGCAATAATAACATTCCTTGCATCGGCACAATCGCAATGCCAATCGCGCATGCGCACACCACGCTTCACGCCGCCATCTTGCGGCTATATCATCTTTATATTAACCACTAATTATAGTGGCTATATATTAACCAGAGCAGCGCATTCAGACGCCCAAATGTCACCTTAGTAGGCATTGCCCATCGCAGCACAATTAGCATTACTTCGCAGTTGCAAACGTGCGCGCGCGATTACGATATATTTAATATTCACAAGACGCACCGACACACACAAATATACGCTGCAATGTCGGCGAGAAGTCACACCGCCGCCGTCGGTTTCCGCCGGCCGCCGCCGCCGCCGCCGCCGCCGCCGAAGCTTTTCGCCATGTTTACATTCCCACACGTGATGTATATGTATAGTTTCTAGCTCGACGGCAACGCTACAAAAATATTCACGTGTAACAGAATTGTGTTCGTCGCCATTACGATATTAATGTGCCGAGCTCGACATCACGCGATGGTATATCGAATTATCGATAGATCGATATTCACGGTAACGAGTAAAATAATAATTAACAACATCGCTAATTAAAATGTGAACCCTGTGTGCAAGTGGACTAAACGTTCTCGCGAGATCGGGTACACGTCACGTCATCACGCGGTAACATTTTTTTTACACTGGGTCAACCACGACTGATGCTGCTACTGCTGCTTGCTATAGGTCTAACACAGTATTACGACAGCATTCCCTATCATAATAAATGTCGGTTATATTTATACATATATATGTTCACTCACAGCGTGTATACGTGTACTAGATTTCGCTCAAATTGTACGATAAACAAGATCAAACGCAAAGCACAAAAATACCGCTTTGTCACTGGTACGTATCACCTCAACCTGTATATAGGACCTGTTGCAAGCTGTATATAATAGGACTACTAGCCTTGCCGAGACTGCAAAACAGGCAAATACTGTGCATTAGCCAACGACTCCAGAAGGCAATGTCATTCGACACAATATAACAGAGAAGTATAGTACGCGCACAGTAGTGTGCGCGATTCCCTGACGCTGTTGCCCGTACGTGCACACGCAACTCGATTACAGACCCCCCAAAATACAAGGCAAATCTTCCGGCTATACTACGAAAACACAATATTCACTCCACAACATAATTCTATGCTTTAACAAACAACCTATATATACACATATATATACATATATATATACACATATGTATATATATATATATATACATATATATATATATATAGTAGAATATCGCACACACTTATGTCTTTATTAAAAGAACACTATTATCATGGTCATGTTGTAAAGGTGCTCACCATCATGTAAGCACACCCATGGCACTTGAAAAGGCAGACTTGCACACTGCACGCATGACTCCTCCCACCACGCCGTAAAGTTCATGATCATCGCTAACCACCGCCGCTTTGTATGTATGTATGTATGTATGTATATATATATTATGGCACATTTCGCATGTCAGGTGGCAAATCTGGCCGGTAGATGGCGACACTGATGTTTGCGACCATGCATTACAACGCTCGCTATCCACGGCGCTATATATGCATCACTTCTTCCGACAACATATACAACGTACGCCGCGTAGGAAGCACAATGACGACACCACCCCCCCTCCCCGATTCCTTCCACGCGACGGTCATCCGCGTGTTACCAACCTCCCCCCTCCCCACCCCTGTTTCACAGCACGCCTGTTGTACCCAAATCCCCCCACTAACCACCCACCCCCCAGCGCGCTTACATTAACCGCGACCACCCTACCTGTAACGTTGTGTTAGTCACCTGTGTACGTACATACGCACAGTAAAAGACGTGTGACGCAGCACTGGTGGCTAGCTAAGCTATCTCAGTAGCGGCTCGTCTGGTAGGCACGTCAAGGGTGACGACGAGAACGTGTGCACTACGCATACTTACGTTCTACGTTCACGTACGATTACCGCCTCCACGCGAGGACGGTCCGAGACGACACGCTGATCTGTGCTACCTATCCAGCCACCCACCCTAGCCTCCCACCACACAAACGCATCAAAATCGGGCGTATAGTACAACAACAACGCAGCAGCAGCAACTGCACGTATTCTCTACACGTATTCTTCGAAACAATCGGGGGTTTCTTCGCAGCTGGATTTCTCCACAACGATTACGCACGTGGAAGCAACCGCGTCGGGGTCGTTTCGAAAACAGGCTGAAAAGTGCACTGCTAGACATGCCAAAACGAAACGCATTTCCCTCCAGCAACCGCGCACACAGGGCGAAGTGAGAATACATTGGTAATATATTATACACCACAATAACCTCCAATCGAATACACTGCATGCTGTAGGTGGGGTACGGCAAACAATCAATTTCACACAAGGATGATCTGATGAGGTCGCGAGATCACTCTGTGAGTGAAGGACGAGAGGATAGAGGCAGGAGGATGAGGGAGAATGGACGAGGGAGAAGGAATGAGGGAAGATGGATGAGGGTGGAGTATTAAGGAAGGAGTGAAGGAAGAGAGGATGGACGAGGAAGGATGGAATAAGGGATGAGCGATGAAAGAGGAAATGAGGGAGGATTGATGAGGGAGGAGTAATAAGAAAGGAGTGAAGGAAGAGAGGATGGACGAGGAAGAATGGAATAAGGG